GTCAACTTGCAACTGATGGCCACGAATAAACACACACACACACATGCCCTAGTTGCGAGTCGATGGGCAACTTGCAACTGGGGACCCTCCTTGACAGAAACACACACACACCTCTGCCTAGTTACGAGTTGATGGTGAACTTGCAACTGGGGGCCAAGAATAAAAAACAAAACACACACACACAGACCAGACGAACATCAACCTACACACACTAGCAGCCACAAAAAGGATCAACACCACTAAAAAGAAGTGAACAACAGACTAAAAAGAGGGGCGATCATACAGGGCTTCGTATATCCTACAAGCGTACGTGGGCTTGTGAGTGGAAAATGTTCCGGGCCGGAATGCAAGTGGCCTTCATCAAACAAAAAAGAGAAGAAAAAAAACGTGCGACACAAAAAAGAACGGGCTGTGAGCGGGATAACAGATGGGCCGCGCCTCCCGTCGCTACGAAGCTCTCCACCTGGAGGAAGCACGAATCGTCGCGCGGCTGGATCGGACGGTCTAAAAAGTGAATGAGACCAATTAGTTTCTCATTCGAATGAGTTTTAGCAAATCCGAAAAATTATACCCACAGTAAACGGAATCAGGGAGTAGTTAGTTAGAATTTTTTTTCCTAAAGAAAACGTGCGTGAGGATGGTCTGCCGGCAGAACATCCAATCTGAACCGTTCGATTGACTGGCAGACCACCGGGACATTATGGGCTCTCAGATTTCACTTAATCAATTAGATCTGAGGGCTCTGCTTATCCCGTGTACACTTTGAGGTGTGTCTTTAGAGAAACTCATGTTTGCTCTTTTAATAGTAGTGTAGATGCGGATTAGTACTAGTAGTAGCTAACAACGGTACTAGTAATGGAGCATCAATGAATTAACCACCATTTTGATGTACTACGTGGCCACCAATGAGAATGAGCAGTACAGTAGGCAGTAAGTTGTTGCCGGCAAGCAACGTGCACCTGCAATTCATTCTTGCATGGAACATATCCATCTTGCCAGTGTGATCACTCCTGCTCGCCACCACTATATAAGAACCAGCTGATCGCCATGGCTACCACCACCACACCACACCCAGCCATCTCACAACATAAGCGAGCTAGCATACACTCCAGACTAACTTGCCAAGGTTCCAATCATCCCGATCAAAAAAAAAAAAGGTTCCAATCATCAATGGCGAGAGCGATCGTGCTTGCGGCCACCATGGCCGCGGCCGCGCTGTTCATGCTGCTGGCCGCTGCGCCAGCGCCGGCGAGTGCCATGGATTTCGGCGAGCACGACCTGGCGTCGGAGGACTCCCTGTGGGCGCTGTACGAGCGCTGGAGGGAGCAGCACACGGTGGCGCGCGACCTCGGCGAGAAGGCCCGCCGCTTCAACGTCTTCAGGGAGAACGTCCGCCTCATCCACGAGTTCAACCGCGGCGACGCCCCCTACAAGCTCCGCCTCAACCGCTTCGGCGACATGACCGCCGACGAGTTCCGCCGCGCCTACGCCTCTTCCCGCGTCTCTCACCACCGCATGTTCAGCCGTAAGGAGGGCGATGGCGGCTTCATGCACGGGAGCGCTCGGGACGTGCCGCCTTCGGTGGACTGGCGGCAGAAGGGCGCGGTGACCGCCGTCAAGGACCAGGGGCAGTGCGGCAGCTGCTGGGCTTTCTCGACGATAGCGGCCGTGGAGGGCATCAACGCGATCCGCACCAAGAACCTCACGTCTCTGTCCGAGCAGCAGCTCGTGGACTGCGACACGAAGTCCAACGCCGGCTGCAACGGCGGCCTCATGGACTACGCCTTCCAGTACATTGCCAAGCACGGCGGGGTGGCCGCCGAGGACGCGTACCCCTACAAGGCGCGGCAGGCCTCCTCCTGCAACAAGAAGCCGTCCGCCGTGGTCACCATCGACGGGTACGAGGACGTGCCGGCCAACGACGAAGCGGCGCTGAAGAAGGCGGTGGCCGCGCAGCCGGTGGCCGTGGCCATCGAGGCTAGCGGGTCGCACTTCCAGTTCTACTCGGAGGGGGTGTTCGCGGGCAAGTGCGGGACGGAGCTGGACCATGGCGTGACGGCGGTGGGGTACGGCGCCACCGTGGACGGCACCAAGTACTGGATCGTGAAGAACTCGTGGGGGCCGGAGTGGGGCGAGAAAGGGTACATCCGTATGAAGCGCGATGTGGAAGACAAGGAGGGGCTCTGCGGCATCGCCATGGAGGCGTCCTATCCCGTCAAGACCTCAGCCAACCCAAAGCATGCTGGTGTCCATGACGAGCTCTGAAGCTTGAATCTCTCATCGATTATCTAATTGGCCCCCAAAGCCCCAATATGCATGACCAGGGCATTATCGCAAGGGAAAAAGAAATAAACAATCAATCGTTATGCACCCATCACATATATTAGTTGCACTACTTAATTGTCATACATGTACTGCGGTTTCGACCGATTTGTATCTAAACGGTTTACATTATATATCCTGTCAATTTTTTTTGTGAAACCTTACCCATATATTAAATAATTAAAACATTTGTACAATCATTATTTAAAGATTATTTTCAGATGAATTACGTATAAAGAAACCGATCTAAATCAAAAGCTACTTTTCTTTAATGTAGACACGTCTCATCCTTTCATTGTGTGTGAACAAAGAGTATGCACGTGGTTTGCATTTTGGCTGAATAATAATGTTAGTGGATGTTTACGCGACACATTTGGTGAAGTGGAAGACTATATGTTGAGAAAATTAGAGGTAGTGGGGATCAATTATTTATGTATACTAGGCAAACATGATCGTGCGTTGCAACAGGTACAATATAAATAATATGAAGCTAGAAATCTATTTTTTTATTGAAAATACTGAAAACTACTACTCCGTCCCATAATGTAAGAAGTTTTTGCAAGCTATATTACGTCTTACATTATGCAACGAAGGGATTATCATGTGTCATTCTTGAAAAACAAATCACATTTAGCCTAGGCTTCGGTCCTATAGTCAGTTGTGTCCTCGACTGACCTTGGATGTCGTTGAGGCAACAGCAATCCTGCGCGCTCCTTGCTATTAGAGGAGATGCCAGATTTGCCAGAAGGAAATAAACACCGGAGCGTCAGTTTCGGCATTACAATGGATCATTGACGATGAAATGTTCGAGTGTACAGTGGACGACGTATGAAACAGATGAAGGATCAAGACGTATGATTCCAAGCCATCGGGCTTCCACCTCGAATTCCTTTACCTCTGCCTTTCCAATCATTACAACATCGAGTTCATGCACCTGTCGATGAAGATGACTCCTCCTTCAACGTTGCCAAATCCTCCCAAGTGAAGCTAAGGTCCCTACGTTGTACTTCTTCGTAGGAGTCGTAGCCAGATTACGCACACAGGAGCAGAAAGCCCATAGGGGAGTTACATGGCCCATTCAACAGTAAAGGGCTGGCTCACTCGCGCACACTTCAAAACAAAAAAGTGAAAAAGGAGCCTTGCATGGGGGATTCGAACCGTGGTTTCCTAGATAGATTTCAATGGTGCTAGCCACCGGGCTAACGTTGGGATTCTATTCAAGTAGTAGGGCGGGATGTTGTGGAGGCGAAATGAGCCCCGGTTTCACCCTTTATTTTTTTCTTCTTTCTTCCGGGATGTTTCTTTTCTTTTCTCTTCTCCTTTTTTCTTTTGGTTTATTTTGTTTCCTTTTCGGTTTTCATATTTTGGTTTTGTTTGTTTATTTTGGTTTTCGTTCTACATTTTTTGTATATACCAACAACATTTTTTCTAATACACGTTTAATATCTTTCCAAATACAAATTTAACATTTTTTAATTCATAGTTGAATTTTTTTTCTATACACATTTTAAACATTTTTCAAATGTTTGATTAACATCTTTCAAATTAAAGTTTAACATTTTTTGTGTACATGGTCAAGATTTTTCCTATACACTTTGAACTTTTTCAAATGCTTGATTAACATTTTTCAAATACAATATTAACATTATTCGAACACATTGTCAACATTCTCTATATGAATATTTAACAATTTTCAAATGTTTTATCAACATTTTTCAAATGCAAGATTAACATAATTTAATGCATGGTCGACATTTTTAGGCACATTTAACATTTTTCAAATGCTTGATTAACATTTTTGAAATATTTTTTAATTTTTAGATGCTTGATTAATATTTTTGTATAACTAATCAAAAAATTCATCATTTTTTAATACATGATCAACATTTTCTCTATACACATTCACCATTTTTGAAACGCTTGATTGCAGCGAGAGCTGACTTTGTCTTGCCGTGCCTTCAGCAAAAGCTGACTTTGTCTTGCTTGCAGCGAGACATAGTCGCGTCGGTCGACCTGCCTGCTAAATAGTTTCGCCATCTCTCCAGGTATTCTTCTCCCAATTTTCTATTCTGTGTGTTTAGGGCCAGCCCACGGGCACCCATCCACATGGGCTGGGCCATAGCACACTGTTTCGTCCATGGTTTTGGCAAGGTTTCAATCAGTTTCTTTTCTACATGTTTTTCCCTGTTTGTTTCACTGGGTTTGGTTTTGAGATTTTTTTATTTTTTAGTACTTAATTTTTATTTTTATTTTCCTTCTCTTCATAACCGATTTTAATTCATGAATACATTTTAAAAGTTTTTAAACATGCTTTAAATTTGTTGACATTTTTTTAATTTAGGAATGTTTTCAAAGTTCAAGAACATTAGTAAATTTTCCAATATTTTCAAATTCATGAACATTATTAAATTCCTGATTATTTTATAAAAAATTGAACATCTGCATTTTACAAATGTTATTTAAGATTTATAAACATTTTTTTTTGAAACATTTATAAATCGACTCTGTTTTTTTATCTTCTCTTCTACTCTAATTTTCCCTTCTCTCCGCTAGATTAAATGAGCGCTTGTCCTCCTTGTAGCCTACGTATTGATTGCTAGCCATCCCCACGTGTAACGCACCTGATAGGATTTTTCATTTTTCGTGTGAAGTCACTAGTTAAGGCGTACATTTTTTAACCACGTGACATATATAGTAAGCAATCCAAACAATTTTAAAATACATACATTTTTTAAGGATTATCCTCAAACTCGTCTGGTGATCTGCGTCAGTTATCGCTACCAAAGAGTTTTGATTGGTTTTCTCACTCACATATAAGGGACGGGAGGTTGGTTGTTTTCGTTTTTCTTTCATACATTTATCTTTAAAATTAAAATATCCTGTGAACCATGCGTCCAAATTATAAACCATTTTCATCGTTGCATTCTTGCTCAAAAATCTTTAAAACTAGATTTCATGCTCAAGGTTTCAATGAAACTTTTTTCACACGAAATGTGTGCTCCCAAAGTGAACTAATATATGCTCCTAAACTATGGTAACATATGGTCCCAAGTGAAATAACTTGTGCTCCCGTAAGAGGTGAAGCACAATCAGTGCACAATCGTACTGACCTATGCCCTCAAACTGTCCTAACATGTGCTCGCAAGCTATAATAACATGTGTTTACAAAATTGTACTATTCTGGTCTGTGTACTAACTCGTGCAGTTTAACAGTACTAACTTGTGCTTCCCAAGTAACTAACATGTGCTCTCATTCTTGAGGGGGCAGACCTAGAGGGATGAATAGTGGCTATAAAGTGTGAATGGGCCCGTCTAATATATCTTTCATTGGAACGAAACTCAGCAATGTATCGTTTCATTGGAACGAAACTCAGCAATGTTCACTAGGTTTTTTGGACAGATTAAAATATAAAAAACATTACAAAACAAAATATTCTTGAATTTTTCAAAATTATTTTTTTGAAAATTGTGTTTTTTTAAGATATATAGAAATGTTAAAATTTTCATAAAATTACAAATGTTTGTTAAGTACAATTGAAGTGTTAATGATGCTTTTTTAATCATGAATTAAAATTTTCTCATGATTTTTTAGAAACAATTTTGGGGAGTACTAGGAATTTTGTTATAAAATCTTAGCAAATTTTTAAGATGTTCATGCATTAGGTTGAAGGGGGAAAAGCAAACCATATAATGAAAAAGCTCTCCAATTCCCTGCATACCAACACCAGGAGGTACCTAGACTCCTTTAGCTAAAGTCAATTTTGCCTGACGAGCAGCTCCGACAAGACCTCAACGGAGCCCTTGCTATGGTTGCCTTCGGTTGGCATTGGCGTCACCTCTTGTCGCCTTTGTGTTCGGTGAGGGACATGCTTGAGGGAATAATGTTAGGAGGGATCGAGGCGGCTGATGAGTGGGGCAGCTCGAGGGCTTTGATCGAGGATTTGGGTGCTTGTGGCGACACACTGGGATAGGTTGGGTGGAGAATAGTAATGCAGGAGGTTCGTTAAGGAAAAGAAAAGGAAGTAGAGAGAGTATGAAACATTGTTTGCAACTTATGAGTGGCTTTGGTGGGTAACACTCCGCAACTATGGCTCCTCTAATTTCGTAGAGATGCAAATTACTAGCTTCCCCAACTCCTCCAAAACTCCACTATGCGGACAACCAACTTCTCCTTCTTAATTCCACGGAATTAGGGCGTTCGCCCTATCCCTGACTGAGGGAGTCCCGAACTAGGGGGTGTCCGGACAGCCGAACTATCATCGTCGGCCGGACTCCAAGACTATGAAGATATAAGATTGAAGACTTCGTCCCGTGTCCGGATGGGACTTTCCTTGGCGTGGGAGGCAAGCTTGGCGATACGGATATGTAGATCTCCTACCATTGTAACCGACTCTGTGTAACCCTAGCCCTCTCCGGTGTCTATATAAACCGGATGGCTTTAGTCCGTAGGACGAACAACAATCATACCATAGGCTAGCTTCTAGGGTTTAGCCTCCTTGATCTCGTGGTAGATCTACTCTTGTAATACCCACATCATCAATATCAATCAAGCAGGACGTAGGGTTTTACCTCCATCAAGAGGGTCCGAACCTGGGTAAAACATTGTGTCCCTTGTCTCCTGTTACCATCCGCCTAGACGCACAGTTCGGGACCCCCTACCCGAGATCCGCCGGTTTTGACACCGACATTGGTGCTTTCATTGAGAGTTCCTCTGTGCCGTCGCAATCAGGAGGGATGCCTTTTCCCGTCTTTAAAGACGGCGCCGTCGTCAAGGGAGCTTTGGCCACCGGCCAAACTATCCGGCTGGGCGATTTTCTTATGACCGCCAGTTCGGCCACCGCTCCAATAATGACCTCTCAGGTCATCAAAAGCGATCTTCACGTCAACTCGGAATTCGCCGAGCAGCTAGATCCGACGGATCTCTCCTCTGTAAATGAGCTCTT